TCCTTTGGCAGGGGGTAGGTGTGGCTGAAATCAAGGACTTTTTGAAAAACAGCTTTTCTTTGGAAGGGCTTGAGCCGGATTTGGCTGTCGGGTTATCCCGGCTCGCAAGGCCGATGAAACTGGCAGCAGGTACAATATTGTTTGAAAACGGCGATCCGGGGAACGGTTGTTATGCCGTTCTGGAGGGTTCGTTGAAGGTGTCGCTCCTGTCCGTTGAGGGAGACGAACAACTCCTGGCAGTTCTTGGCCCGGGCGATCTGGTCGGCGAATTGGCACTCCTTGACGGACGCCCGCGCTCCGCAACAGTCAGTGCGCTGAAAGAGGCGCAACTTGCTTTCATCGACAAGGCGGCCTTCCAGCGGTTTTCCGATGAACACCCGGCGGTTTACCGCCACATGCTGTCGATCGTCGGAAAACGGTTGCGTCATGCCAATGACGTTCTGGCGGCAAGGTCTTTCCTGCCATTGCCGGGGCGGGTCGCGCAGACCCTGCTGCAATTGTCGGAGACCTTCGGAAAAACGTTGGACGATGGCCGGATGCTCATCCACTACAAGCTCAGCCAGGCGGACATTGCCAACATGGCCGGGGCGGCGCGTGAAAATGTCAGCCGCGTGCTGAATGACTGGAAACGTTCCGGGACGATCAGCAGGATATCGGGATATTATTGTCTGGAGGACCGAGAATTCCTGGAGCAGGCGTCCACGCTTTAGGTTTACTTGCCCGGCAAACTGGCCAGTTGCGTCCCTGCAAGGATCGTGGCCAGCGTCTCGGTATCGAGACTGTCCAGAAACGCTTCCGCCGCGCGTGACATGGCTCCCTTCAGGGCGCAGCGCGGCAGAAAGGCGCAAACTGTTAGCTCCGGTTTGAGGCAGGCGACGACACCCAGGTCAGGTTCGATCAGCCTGACGACATCTCCGAGCCGGATCTCTTCCGGTGAGCGTCCCAGGCGAATGCCGCCACCGCGCCCGCGCGTGGTTTTCAGGTATCCGGCCCGCGCAAGTTGGGCGACGATTTTCATGACATGTGATTTGGCCAGGCCGAGCTGTGTGCTCAGACTGTCTACTGTCTGCGGCTTGTCCGTCTGACCGGTGGCCATCAGAATTCTCAATGCAAAATCGCTGGCCTGACTGAGGCGCATGGCTGGGTTCCATAAAACATTCATCTGAGATGTTGATTTTAGCGTCGATGTGTGTCATTTAAAAGATGCATTTAAAATGAATGTTATGGAGAGGGCGATGAAAGCGCGCAGATCCGGTTCAGACAGATACAAGTTACCGGTTCGTCCGGTGAGGGAAACAGGTGATCGCCTGCGCCGGTACGAGACCGTGAACGAGCAATCCATTCAGGTGATGGTGCACACCTTCTATGGCTGTATTCGTGAGCATCCGCGTCTCGGTCTGATCTTCAAAGGTCGACTTGACGGCAAATGGGAAGAGCATCTGCCGAAGATGGAAGCCTTCTGGCAATCCGTTCTCCTGAAGAATGGCGCCTACAAGGGCAAGCCTGTCCCGGCACATCTGAAGCTGAAAGAGGTGGTCAGTTCCGATTATGGAGATTGGCTGTCGATTTTTCGTCCTGTCGTTCGCGAGCTGTTCGTGCCAGATCTGGCAGATGAGATCATCGCAGTTGCCGAACGGATTGCACAAAGTCTCTGGCTCGCGACATTCGGCCATGCCGGGTCGTCGCCTCCGGCCGAACTGACATCCCAACAATCGGAATGGAGCGGATCATGCTGGTAGCAGTCGTTCTTGTCGCCGAGGTCCTCGTTGTCGTCTGGTTCGCGATTTTCTCGGTAATGCTGGTGTCCATGTATCTGGATTCCCGGCAAATGGAATTGCCGAGGCTCGACACCGCCGGTCGAACATTGATCGGCAGTGCGAAACTCGCCTTTGTCACGGGCATGCTGGCACTCGTGGTGCTTACCGTTGTTGAATTGCCGGTCTTTGGATAATGGAAACGTGAAATGTCCTTGTCGAATTTTCTGCCACGCGGCCTGCCTATCCTGTTGATCTGGGTTGCCGCACCGGCTCCCTTGTGGATCATGGCAATCCTTATGCTGCTGATCTGACAAGAAAAGCTTGTGATCTGCCTGCTTGCCGCTAGTCTTTTCCGAAACTGAAAAGGAGAGGATCAGCGTGAGCGAAGAGCAGGAGAAACCGAGTGGTGACTTGACGCTGCGAACAATGGCGATGCCCGCAGATACCAACGCTGCGGGAGACATTTTCGGTGGTTGGGTACTTTCGCAGATGGACCTTGCAGGCGGCATTGCTGCCGGGCAACGCGCTGAGGGCAGGGTGGTGACCATCGCCGTAGACCGGATGAAGTTCATTCGCCCGGTTCATGTCGGCGACGTTCTTTGCGTCTATACCCAGGTCGTTCGCGTCGGCAATTCGTCAATGGAAATCAGGCTGGATGCCTGGGCGCTGCGCCACCGCTACGGCCATCGCGAAAAGGTTACGGAAGCCCATTTCACTTTCGTTTCCGTTGATGATAGCGGCCGTCCCCGGCCGGTCCCGAACTGACATCCTTCAGGCTCACGACCGCTTGCGCTTCAAAAGATCGGCAAACAGATCTTCATCGACGGCACAGGTACAGCCGTTTGCCCAAAGTCGGAGAAGGTCCTTCAGGCGCCTGATCCGGACCTCTTCTGCAAGAGGCGCCTTGTGGTGCGGCAAACCGCCGATCAGACGCAGGCTCTGGATGCGCATCATCACGCAGTCTTCGGCCGCCTGCTGCCAGACAGCCGTGTCGGCGATTGCGGCATTCGCCGCCAGATGGTCCTCAATCAGAACTGCCGCGCGTCCGGCAAAAGGCTCTTGAGACAAAAAATCCTCCATCGGTTGCCCGAGGAGGACTGGCGCATGCAATTGAACCGCTCATTGCCGGAATGCCTCTATGAGGTTCCATCCGGCCGCATCCCTGTTGCGGAAACCACCTTGCCCGGTTCGGCAGGTTGGCGAGGGCGCCAGCCCTTCTCTTGATGATGGGATGCTTATGACATGACATTTATGGCTTGGCAAGCCGGACAGGAAAGTTGATGTTCCGGCACCTGCTGGACACGATCGTAATCGATCTTGCCATCCACAAGATGGATGCGGCGCTGCATGCGGGACGCAAGATCCATGTCGTGGGTCACGGCAACCACGGTTGTCTTTTGTGTCTCGACGATCGACTGGAGACTGTCAAAGACCTGTTCCGTTGCCGCTGAATCAAGGCTGCCCGTCGGTTCGTCCGCCAGGATCAGGTCCGGCGAATTGGCAAGTGCCCTGGCCACTGCAACCCGTTGGCGTTGTCCCCCGGAAAGTTGCGCAGGCCGGCGGTGAAGAAAGTCCTGCAGGCCAAGATCCACCAATAGCCCGGTGGCGTGTTCGAGCTGGTCCCGGGTGGGAAGCCTGCCGAGTTTCTGCATCGGGATCATGATGTTTTCCAGGGCCGTGAATTCGGGGAGGAGAAAGTGAAACTGAAAAACAAAGCCGATTTTTGCAAGACGCATCGATGCCATCTCGCCGGAAGACAAATCCGATGTGCTGCTTTCTTCAATCAACACCTCGCCTGATGTCGGTTTGTCGAGCAGGCCAAGCAGGTAAAGCAGCGAGGATTTGCCGGAACCGGAAGGTCCGGTGATCGCAACGAACTCCGAATTTCCGATGCTGATATCGACATCCTGAACCAGGGTGACCGGAACAACGGCGGGGAGAATCCGGGTCAGTTTCCTGGTCTGGAGAAGAAGGCTGACATTGGTGGTCGGACCAGCCTCGGCCGGGGTCATGTCGCACCCCTGATGATGTCCACGGGATTGAGTTTCGCGGCCTTCCTGGCCGGAATGAGGCCTGCGATGGCAGAGGAAAACAGGGCGAGGAAGCAGGAAAGCACATAGTGGATATACGAAAAATGTATCGGCAAACGGGTCATCTCGATATCCGTGGTGACCTCGAACTTGACGGTCGCCAGATAGCTTGAAAGCCCGAAGCCGAGCAGGCACCCTGCAAGCGCTCCCAGAATGCCGATCACCAGGCCTTCGAGAACGAAGATCTGCTGAATGTCGGACTCCGGAAAGCCGAGAGACTTAAGTATTGCAATGTCCCGTGCCTTCTCGTGCACGATCGTGGACACGATATTGAATATTCCGAAGCCGGCGACCACCAGGATTGCGCCGACAACGGTATACATGATCGCATTGCGCACGACGAAGGCCTCCATCAGGCCTTCATTGGCTTCCTCCCAGGAGACGGCCTTGTATCCGAGCTGACGCTCCGCGCGCGCGGCGACATCATTCGCTTGTCTGATATCGGCCAGTCTGATCGAGATGCTGTTGATGATGTCCGGTTTTTCCAGAAGTATCTGCACGGACTTGAGCGGAGCATAGGCAAGGCCCTCGTCGCTGGTCGTGATGCCCGTGTGGAACAGGCCGACGATCTTGAACCGTTTGGCGATGCCGTTCGCCGAGGTCAGCGTGACCGTGTCGCCGAGTTCCGCGCCCAGACGACTGGCAGCCTTGCCGCCAATCACAAGGCCATTTGCTGTCGTATCGAGGGCTTCAAAGCTGCCGGCGCGCATGTCCTCCCGGACTTTGGAGACCAGTAATTCGCGTCTCGGAACCACTCCGACAAGCGTCATGCCAATGTCCTGCCCGCTGTAGCGCAGTACGGCCTGGCCGCTCAGCCGCTGGGCGAAATCGCCAAGCACCCAGTCGCGCAACGAGGCGATGGCTTCCGTCGGGTTGCGGATGCCGCGCAAATCTTCCAGCGGCCGCAAGCCGTGAAAGGCCACAGCGTCGTACTTTGCCGTTGCCGGTTGCTCTGCCGGGTTTCGCTGCTCGTCCAGGATTTCAACATGTGGAATTGCCTCGATCAGCGTCGTCATGAAGTCCCGCTGCGAGCCTTCCATGAGGCTGGCCATGGCAACTGAAAAGCCGACGCCAAGGGCAACGCCCAACGTTGAGACAACGGTTTGCCGCATGCGGTTCCGGACATGTGTCGCAGCTATCCGCAACAGCAGCATTACCTGGCTCCTCCATCCCTCGGTGCAACCCTGTCGCCCTCCGAAAGGTCAGCCTGAAACGGAAAGACGACCTGGTTCTGCTCCCCAATGCCGTCGAGAACCTCGATCGCTCTGGTGCCGCGAATGCCGGTCTTGACCTTGATGAGCGAAATCCGGTCCTGGTCGTCCAGGACCTGAAGCATGGTGCCGTCGAAAGCGGCAATCGGCAGCAACAGGACATCGTCCCTTTCGTTTGTGACGATGTTGATTTCCGTGGTCATGCCGATACGCAAGGGGGTATCGTCCGGAAGTTCGAGGTAAACGCGGTAGTTTTTGAGAATCGGATCACCTTTCGGAGTAATTCTCGAGACCGTTGCGGCGAGATCTTCATCTGGAAACGCGTCCGAACGAATGAGCGCCTTGTGGCCTTTCTCGACTTTCGGGATATCTTCCTCGTTCACCTCCGCAACAAGCTGCAATGGCAGGGGCTGCCCGATCCAGAACAGGATTTCGCCAGGTTCCGCAACCTCGCCGACAGAACCGTCCTGCCGTAACACAGCGCCATCCATCGGCGCGGTGATCAGGTAGTCCCGCAACCGCTCCTTCTGCGCGGCGATCGTCGCATTGATGCGAATGACCTCGTTCTGAGCCTTTTCATAAACCTGCTGGCTGACGACACGCCGTTCCATGAGCTGCAACGCCCGCTCCCGGTCCGACAGGGCCAGTTCGCGGCGCGCCTCTAGCTCGGCGAGCGTCGCCCGTGCGTCCCCGCTGTCCAATTCGGCAAGTTGGTCGCCTTGCCGGACTTCCGCCCCTTCACAGCCGCAAAGGGATATGATCCTTTCACGAATGATGCTTGTAACCTTTGCCCACCTGACGGGTTCCACGACAGCTGTTGCATAGACCACCTCGGCGGCACGGCCCCTGAAAGGCTGCGTGACTGCAACCTCTGGCGGACGGCTGGACCACCAATAGGCGCTGGCGAGGGTCGCAACGAGCAGAAGAAGCAGGACTGGATATCGAAATGAACGCATGAAGCACCTGAATGTGACTGCACGAGTCTAGAAGTTCATGTCATGACGTCCATGTCATGAATCAATTCTCCGCGACAACGGCACGGTCATAAACTCGGTCAGTAATGCGGCGGTTTGTCGATACGGTGGGCCGGCAGAACCTGTTCCGCGAGCTCTTCCATCTGATCGGTCATCTTGGCGAGGAGCTGCGTCAGCCGGTCGATTTGTTTGCCATGCGCGACCGCGACGCTGTTGAGATCTTCAATCGTGCGATTGGCATGTGCCAGGTCGATCTCAAGCTGCTCGATCCGCGCTTCGTGATCCTGTGTCATCGGGCATTCCTCGTTGTCGTTGGCCGCGCTGATATAGGCGTAATCCCGCGAAAGAACAAATCTATTCATCGCATCCGGACGATGGGTTTAAATTGCGATCGCGAGTGTTATATGACCTTCGGGATCCCGGCTGGAGCTGCCGGGGCATAAAACCAGAGAGATCTTCATGAACACCTTGTCCGATTTCCTGATCACCAAGAAGTGGCCAGCCGAACATCCCGACCGTCTCCAGCTCTATTCCCTGCCGACACCGAACGGTATCAAGGTCTCGGCGATGCTCGAGGAAACAGGCCTGGCATATGAACCGCACAAGGTGGATTTCGGAACCAACGACCAGACCTCTCCGGAGTTTCTTTCGCTCAACCCGAACAACAAGATCCCGGCGATTATCGACCCGAACGGCCCCGGGGGAAAACCTCTTGCTCTTTGGGAGTCCGGCGCGATCCTCATCTATCTTGCCGAAAAGACGGGGAAGTTCCTTCCCGCCGAACCGGGCGAAAAATATAAAGCGATCCAGTGGGTGATGTGGCAGATGGGCGGCCTGGGTCCAATGACCGGCCAGCTTGGCTTTTTTCACAAGTTTGCCGGAAAGAATTTTGAGGATCGCCGTCCGTTCGAGCGTTATCGCGATGAAGTCAAACGCCTTCTTAAAGTGCTCGACGCCCAACTCGATGGCCGCGAGTTCATAATGGGGAACGACTATACGATCGCCGACATCACTTCCTGGCCCTGGGCGCGCAACATCAACGGTTTTTACGAAGCCGCTGAAGTTGTCGGCTATCATGATTTCAAGAATGTCGTGCGCTGGGTGGATACTTGCCTCGCCCGCCCGGCCAGCCAAAAGGCGATCAATATTCCTGCACGGGACTAGTCAGCAAGGACTGGCCTGTCGGAAAGGCGGAACCAAACCGCCTTTTCCAGCCAGGTGACCGAACGGTATTACTCGGCCTTAAATCCTCGGCTTAGGCGCCGGTGCACGATCGGAATCGCCGGAATTGGGCTCTCCCTTGGGCTCGATCAGAAGAACCTTAACTTCCTCTTCGGCTCTTGGGCGATGAACAACCCCTTTCGGAACGATAAAAAGGTCTCCCGCTTTCACGGTCCGCGGCGGTTGCCCTTCGATATCCATGATCATCTCGCCTTCAAGGACGTAGAAGAAGTCGTCCGTCGTGTCATGCTTGTGAAACGGATATTCACCCTTGAACTTCACCACCATGACTTCGTTGTCGTTATAGTCGGACACCACATGGGGATCCCAGTGGCTGGAAAACAGGGCCAGTTTCTCTGAAAGATCGATGGATTTCATGTACGAGGTCCTTTCATCGGGTCTGCCTGTTACTTTGCAGAACCGGATTGCCGAGTCATCTGGAAACTGGCTGCCGCGATGTTATCGCACACCGTGCTGGTGCCGCAGGAGCATCGCGTAAGGTGTCGGGTTGAGCGGTGCGCTGATACCCGGTTTCTCGCGCCACAAAAGTGAATGTTCAGTGCGGTCTCGTGCAGCAGAGGTTTGCAAGTTTCGGCGGCACCATCCAGTTGATCTTCCTTGACCCCGCAAACCACAATTGCGGCCTGGCGGATTTCTGCCGGGCCATCGGTTGAATTTCCGGCGGGGACGACAAAATTCTCGCTCATGGATTGAAAAGATTGGACCGTTGATCCGGAGAGCTGCCAGTTGGTCAGCCCAAGCAATCGTGCGTCCAGACAGTGCGTGTTTCGATCTCTTTCGCAGCGCCGGGCCGGGGCGTTCTCTCGATCTGAAAGAAAATGACGAAATTGGTCAGGGACACAGAACCGTTTTGCCTGGCGGACCAGTTGCGGCACAGGTACCGCGCATAATTGAGCGCAAGCACCTGTGTTACATCTTCATAGGACTGGTCTTCCACGTTGGACAGGAACTTGCGCCAACGGTAGTTCTCATAGGTCTTCGAAACGGCAGCCGGTTTTTCAAAGTCCGCGAGACCCTCCCGTCCTTTGTAGACGTCAACCATGGTGCCATCGGACAGCTCCCCCTCGATCACAGGCCAGGGGCTGGTCATTTCCGGATACGGGGCAAACATGGTCCAGTGCTGATAGAGCCCGAGGGCCTGGCGTGCACCGACGAATGCACTTGGCAATGTGAGGCCGCTCGCAGGCAGCGTGGAGACATTCTGCACCGTGATGAAGACAAGCGAGGCACCGGCGGCAATCTGTGTAAGCCAACCAAACCGGGGTGGGGCACTGCGCCATGGAAGGCATCTCGCTGTAACGCGGGAGAGGCGGGACCGGTTGCGACCGACCCAGTCGTAAGAATGGTCGCCGATGGCCGTGAAGGCGGAATGACCCATGAACCAACCCAGAGGGAAAAAAACGGGCGAGACGGAAACCAGCTTTGCGAGTGCCTCGAACTTGAAGAGGCGTTGTTCTCCGACTGTCAGAACCCAGGAAGTGCGGGCCTCCAGTTCAGCACCGATTTCCGGGTCCTCCTGGGCGGGTTTGACCGGTACGGACGGCAGAAAAAGAATCATTCTCAGGATATTGCAGGTCTTTTCGCAGAAGTCGCAGCCACGATCGAACCAGATTGAAACCGGTTGGCGTGTGCGTTTGGGCAATGCGGCGGCAAGCTTGTCCCACATCCAGCCGGGCATGAAGGTGATATTCATGATGATGGAGATGAACGGGAAAAACCCGATCTCCAGAAAAACCGCGAATGCCAGATGCATGGTCACGAAGGCCAGCATGAAGAGCGTTCGAAGCGTCCTGTGAAAGATCGGTGAGAAAATGAGGATCGGGCCGATCAACTCCAGCAGATAGACATAGTAGGTGAGCCCCGTCAAAAGACCCTGGAATTGGCGAAACCAGAGGGCGAACGGCGTGACCAGGTAGTCCAGTTGCAGGGCGTAGTAGACGGCTGTTCCCTCGCTGATCCATATGGGATGTGTCTTCAGGAGAGCGCTGAAGAAATACATGGACATTCCCTGCAACAGCAGGGCAGTTGTCGCGACCGAAAAATAGGCGTTTTCGGCAAGTTCCTTGTGTCGCGACACCGCTGCATCCAGCGAGTAGCGCGCGCCGAGAGGCAGGAACATGGCCCAGAACAGCAAGAGAAGCGCCAGATTGTCCTCGCCGGACAATATGAACGTGTTCCTGTTCTGGAGCGAGAGGAGCAGACCCCAGGAAAGCGCTGTCATCAGGCGAGTTCGCCATCCCAGCAGCAGGCAAAGCGCGACGAGGCCGGCAAGGACAAAAAGCATTGCCTGGAACCAGGCCGATCCATTGGCCAGATGGAATGACCAGCTAGTGGCGTAAAGATGGTCCAATTGTACGGCGCGGGGCATGACGCCGATATCGGTATAATGCGCCGCCAGATCCCGTGCGCGCATCGAGAGATCGATGAGTATCCAGAGCGAAAGCAGGACACGGAACAGCGCAAGTGTGCGAAGATCAATGCCGAAGATCGTTCGAAAAGATGCCAGTCTGATCGTCAAGAGCCTCACCGCTGCCGGGCTGTTCCGGCAGTGCCGGGACCTTGAATCCTCCCCGTAGCGTAACGGACTATCTTAAAGAAATGGCTTAAGCTGCAAGGACGTAGTGGCACGGCTTTCCCAAATGGATCCATGTCGAAAAAGTTCAGGGCCTCTGGATTGGCGCGTCATGAATATCAACCACATGCGCCTTCAAACTGCGGACTTTGTGCAGCTGGATTTAGGTACGGTTCCCGAAGTAAGCCGAATTCGAGAAGCTGTTCCGCGACTGCTGACCGCCTGGAATGATTCATCAAGAAGTTGAAAACAATCAAAACGGCAGGTTTCCTGGACAGGTGAATCAAAGCCGAGCCAGCATGCCCCTGAAAGCAGGTTGATGAAGCAGATCAGCAGCCTCGACGGGGGACACCCAGCGCCGGTCCCGGTGATTTTCCTCCCACTGATCGTCAGGCAGGACACGGGTGACTTCCATGGCATAGACCGCAACGCTGCAGGCCGCGCCCCACTTGTCGTAAGTGTAATGGCCAAGCGGATCGTGACCTGCCATGCCTTCAACCCCGGCTTCTTCACGAGCTTCAATCAGCGCCGACTGAGCCGGGCCGAGCCCGGGCTCGACGATGCCCTTCGGGACGACCCAATGGCGGCCGCTGCTGGATCCGACAATCAGGATCTCGGTGCCCGCTTCGCCCTTGCGATAGGGAAGGGCTGCCGATTGCGAGTAATAATAGGCGGGCCGTGGACGCAACTCGGGTCCGTCGGGCGAAGGCCAAGGGAAGAGATCCGGCAGGTTTCTAGGGTCGACGTGCTCTTTCAAGTCGGCATTGCCAGCGTAAAGAGACATAGTGAGGAGCGCACCGGCGTGGGTTCTGAGCCCGGAACCGAGGCGATCCGCCAACGCCTGAATTGTTGCCGATGGTGCTGTCAACAGCGCCCTGTTCACATCAGGCAAATCCGGAACAAGCCCCGCTGAAAGTTTCCGGGAACCGTGAATGTCGCGAGCCGTCCACCCCGCTGCCTTGAGTGTTTTCTCAGCCGTTACCCGGGACCGGTTGTCCAAGGCAGTCAAGGTGATATCCGGGCGCAATCCGCGTTGACCGATCAAGGCGCCGACTTTCTGGGCGCAGCGCTTGCCCTTCGTGCGAAGCGGGCGATCGGCTGCCGGTCCTGTCCAGGACTTGTCGCCGGCACCGGCGCAAAGCAGCAGTAATTCCATTCCGGCCTCCCAGCAGGAAATGCGTTTGTACAAGGCCTGCAGACGGATCATATCGCTGGGCTGCCGACGTGTCATGAGCGCTGAAACCGTTCGGGAGGGAAAATTTGCTGCCGATGTCCATCGGCCGTCCGGCCGTTCGTCATGTCAATGAAAGCACCGTTGCTTTCGAAAAACCGGATGGAGAAATACATGACGATATGGACGGTTCTTCTTGGCGGCGTTGGGGTGATTGCCCTGGCGGCTGCCTGCACACTCTTCCTGCCTGGAGAAGTGCACGTGAAACGGCAGGCAACCATGAAGGTGGCACCGGAAACCGTTTTGAACCTTGCCGCATCCAACGAAGGATATCAGCGGTTCAATCCTTACCTGACCTCGGATCCTGACCTGAAGATCATGCCCTTCGGACCGCGATCGGGTGTCGGTTCCGGGTTTCGTTTCGAAGGCCGTGAGGGCAAGGGCAGCCAGACGGTCGCCTCGGTGACAGCTGACAGTGTCCGTTATGACATCGACCTGGGAGCGATGGGGCGTCCGGTCCAGCAGATAACGGCGTTGGACACACCTCAGGGAACACGTGTCGTGTGGACGATGAAGATGGATCTGGGACTTAATCCTGTCGCCCGCGTGTTTGGTCTTTTCCTTGATGGCATGGTGGGCAAGACATTCGAACAGGGACTGGATAACCTCGCTGCAACCGAGTCGGCAGCGTCTTGAAAACGAAGGAAAAAGTATGCGCTACACTTTCTTGCTCTACACCGATCCTGCGGATCTCGCAGATATGACGCCCGAGGATTGGCAAGCCGAAAAGGAAGTCTACGGGGCTTACATCGGAGCATTGCAAAAGGCCGGGGTCTTCGTCGATACGGATTGGCTGCAACCTGTCCATTCGGCCACCACCTTGTCACTGAAAGGTGGAACCAGGCAGGTTCAGGATGGTCCTTTCGCCGATACGAAGGAAACGCTTGGCGGATATTTTGTCATTGATGTTCCGGACCTGGATGCAGCCATGGTGTGGGCCCAGAAATGTCCTGCTGCCAAGACCGGAAAGGTCGAGATTCGGGCCTCCGCCATGGGGGGTGAGTGACAGATGCCGCTCGCGCAGCCGAACTGGCTGCGCGAGGGTCCTATGGTCGGCTGCTGGCGCTTCTGTCGTCTCGCACGCACGATATCGCTCTCGCCGAGGATGCACTGGCAGAGGCATTTGCAAGAGCGCTCAGCCATTGGCCGGCGCACGGAATTCCGGACAACCCGGATGCCTGGCTGTTGACCACTGCACGAAACCGGTTGACGGACAGTCAGCGGCGACAGTTCCGTTTTCCGACCGTGAACGAGATACCGGATATGCCCTCGTCCGAGCTTGCTGACGGCTCAATCCCGGACCGGCGCCTGTCACTCCTGATGGTTTGCGCGCATCCGGCAATTGCCCAGGATCTGCACGTTCCCCTGATGTTGCAAACCGTTCTTGGTCTGGAAGCGAAAACCATTGCGCGGCTCTTTTTGATCTCACCCGTCGCACTGTCCAAGCGACTGGTTCGGACCAAGGCCAAGATCCGGGACGCTGGAATACCCTTCGCGCTTCCCTGCGACGACGCCCTGCGGGAACGCAGTACGGCAATTCTTGAGGCGCTTTATGCCTTGCATGCCCATGACTGGCTGGATCCTGCAGAAAATCTTGGCGACGAGGCATTCTATCTCGCAGATCTGCTGGGACGTCTGATAGTGGACAATGCGGAAGCTCTTGGCCTTGCCGCCCTGATCGCCTTCAGCCATGCGCGGGCGCGTGCACGTATTGTCGATGACATGCTGGTTCCCACTGACGAGCAGGATGTGACGCTCTGGAACGACGCGCTGATAAGATACGGCAAGCGGCAATTGCACTGCGCCTATGTGAAGTCGTCAGTTGGCAGGTTCCAGATCGAGGCAGCTATCGAATCTGTTCATATTGCCAGGAAGGAAACCGGCTCCACCGATTGGCTGGCGCTGAACAAACTCTATGTCGCGCTTCTCAAAATCGCTCCTTCTGTCGGGAGCCTGGTTGCGCAGGCGGTAGTCACCGGGCGGCTTCATGGACCTCGGGCTGGGCAGGAAGCCCTGGATGCGGCGGAAACCGTGACCGGTTCCGGATACCAGCCACTCTGGGCAGCGCGTGCGGACTTGCAGGCCCGGGCGGGAAATCACCTCGCAGCGGCAAAAAGTTACGACAAAGCGATTTCGCTCGCCACAGACGGTCCGACAATCAATCTGCTTGCCAGGAAACGGGCGCTGGAACTGAAAAAATAGCGTGTGTTAAGCTACGCTCGGATTGGACCAGTTTCCCGGTTTGAACGGGGTGTGAAGGGCACGTTCAACCAGTGCCAGGTGATCCTGTCCGTAAAACGGGTCGCCATCGACGAAATAGGTGGGGGAGCCGAAGACGTTGTTCGACACTGCCCATTCAGTGTTTTTCCGCAGCGTTTCTTGAACTTCCCGAGAGGCGGCCCTTTCCAAATGCGTCTCGGCATCGAGGCCCATTTCCGTTGCAATTCTTCCAAGAGCTGCCTGATCCGACAGGTCCACGTCGTCACGCCAATGTGCCTGAAGCAGACTGTGAGCCATCCGGTCGGTCATCGGCCCGGTTTCTCCCAGGGCAATGATCATGCCCGAGGCGAGGCTGTAATCTGCATCGTGCCGGCTCGGTCGATAGTTGATTATGGGCACCTCACGATACTCCGCCCATCTTTCAATCTCGCGTCCGAAAAAGTAGTCGACGTGCTGCTGCGTGCGCTTGCGGAAAGACTGTCCGCGCTGAGCGTCGACAACGGGGGATAGCAAGACGGGTTTGTGGATCAAGACCACGTCAGCGCTCTTGCAGATCCGCATAAGCTCGGAAGATCCGAGATAGGCGTAGCCGGAATGCGCAGAATAGACATATTCGATGACGGGCATGTAATTCCCTCGGATTTTTGCGGGCTATGGTCTTTCGTGGGTCAGCGTAAAGCGAACCGGTCGCCTGATACTGCAATGGCCGGTTCGCCGGGCACGCAGCTTCATCGCTCAACGCGTGCCAGCGCAAGCCCGATACCGGCACCAACAAACAACGCACCGGTCAGTTTGTGCCGGAGACGGCCCAGTTGCATGACGAGAGGCCTGGAAACATTTGCCGCCACGACCCACAACATATCGCCGGCAAAGACGATCGAAAGATAGATGGCAGCGGCCACCGCCATGTGACCCGCGGTCGGATCGTTTCCCGTGAACTGGGGGAGGAAAGCTGCGATGAAGATCAACGTTTTCGGGTTTGCAATTGCAAGCAGCAGGCCCTGCAGGAACAGGCGACCCATCGTTCCGCCGGTTGCCTTCGGCCGTTCAATGTCGTCTATCCCCTGTCGCCACGCGCACACGCCAAGATAGATCAGGTAAAGAACACCAGCCCATTTCAGCCAGATGAGTGTACTTGCCGCGACCTGAAGTAACGCGGACAGGCCGAGCACGACGATTGCCAGCTGGATTGCGATGCCGATTGTTGTGCCGACCACTGTTGCGCAGCCGTAGCGGGCGCCATGCGTCAGAGTGTTTGCGACGAACAGGGCGACGTTGGGTCCGGGAATTGCCACAAGTGCGGCTGTCGCGGTTGCCAGAAGAAATGCAGAAGTAAGATCCATGATTTCTTTCTAGCAGAGGCTGCAGGTCGCACAAACACCGGATCAGGTTGATTGGTGGCTATGCACCTGTGTTCGAAACCGGTCCAGGAAAGGGGAAGCAGAGGTCATTGGGTTGTCGGTCATGCGTGGCCCGTTGCATTGCTGCCAAGCCAGGTAAATCTCAAGATTGACGGCAGAGATCGCCATGTGTCGAGGTAAGGTCTCGCGGACGGAAGTCCGTCAATGGCCGGCCCTCGGCAAAGCATCTGAACGTCTGGCTTCTTGAAGGTCGATGACGCTCTCATGCTGCAAGGCAGTACGAATTGAAAATGATGAGCGTGGAGAAAATGCAAAAAGGGCGGCCCGAAAGCCGCCCTTTCCGTAAGACATTTGAGCGTCGGGCTTCTTAGAAGCCCATGCCGCCCATACCGCCCATGTCGCCACCTGGCATTGCCGGGGCTGCTTCTTTCTTCGGAAGCTCTGCGACCATTGCTTCGGTTGTGATCAGGAGGCCGGCAACGGATGCTGCATCCTGAAGAGCCGTACGAACAACCTTGGTCGGGTCGATGATGCCGGCTTCGATCATGTTGACGAATTCTTCGGTCTGAGCGTTGAAGCCGAATGTGTCGTCATCGTTCTCCTGGATCTTGCCAACGACGATGGAACCTTCAACACCAGCGTTTTCGACGATCTGGCGGATCGGGGATTCCAGGGCACGCAGAACGATCTTGATGCCGGCTGCGATGTCGGAATTTGCAGAAGTCAGTTTGGCGACAGCATTCTTTGCACGAAGCAGAGCAACACCACCACCTGCAACGATGCCTTCTTCAACAGCAGCACGAGTTGCGTTCAGAGCATCATCGACGCGGTCTTTTTTCTCTTTCACTTCGATTTCGGTCGCACCGCCAACGCGGATTACTGCAACACCACCTGCGAGTTTCGCCAGGCGCTCCTGAAGTTTCTCGCGGTCGTAGTCGGAAGTGGTTTCTTCGATTTGCGCCTTGATCTGCCCGACGCGGCCATCGATGTCTTCCTTGGAACCGGCACCGTCAACGATAGTCGTGGTTTCCTTGGTGATGGCAACTTTCTCGGCAGTGCCGAGCATGTCGAGAGAAACGTTTTCCAGCTTGATGCCGAGATCTTCGGAGATCACGGTACCACCGGTCAGGATCGCGAGGTCTTCCAGCATGGCCTTGCGGCGGTCACCGAAGCCAGGAGCCTTGACAGCAGCAATTTTCAGGCCGCCGCGCAGCTTGTTGACAACCAGGGTTGCCAGTGCTTCGCCTTCAACATCTTCAGCGATGATGAGGAGCGGGCGGGAAGACTGTACGACAGATTCCAGGATCGGCAGCATGGCCTGCAGGTTGGAGAGTTTCTTCTCGTGCAGCAGGATGAACGGCTTTTCCAGGTCAGCCAGCATCTTGTCGGCATTGGTGACAAAGTACGGAGAAAGGTAGCCGCGGTCGAACTGCATGCCTTCAACGACTTCCAGCTCGGTTTCCAGGGACTTGGCTTCTTCGACGGTGATAACACCTTCGTTGCCGACCTTCTGCATGGCTTCGGCAATGTCCTGACCGACCTGCTCGTCACCGTTTGCGGAAATGGTGCCGACCTGTGCAACTTCTTCGGAAGTTGTGATGGTCTTGGAAGCAGATTCCAGCGCTCTGACGGCTTCAGCAGCAGCCATGTCGACGCCGCGCTTCAGATCCATCGGGTTCATGCCGGCTGCAACAGCCTTGGCGCCTTCCTTGACGATGGACTGGGCCAGAACGGTCGCTGTGGTCGTGCCGTCACCAGCGATGTCGTTGGTTTTGGAAGCGACTTCGCGCACCATCTGGGCGCCCATGTTTTCGAACTTGTCTTCCAGTTCGATTTCCTTGGCAACCGATACACCGTCCTTGGTGATGCGCGGTGCGCCAAAGGCCTTGTCGAGAACGACATTCCGGCCTTTCGGGCCGAGGGTCACCTTGACGGCGTTTGCGAGAGTGTCAACGCCGCGGAGCATGCGCTCACGGGCGTCGGAGGAGAATTTTACTTCTTTAGCAGACATAGGGTCGTCTCACCTAAATTGAGAAATGGAGGAGATCAGAAGCGGTTCGCTGTTTGATTAAGCGATCACGCCCATGATGTCGGATTCCTTCATGATCAGCAGGTCTTCACCGTCGATTTTGACTTCGGTGCCAGACCACTTGCCGAACAGAACGCGGTCGCCTGTCTTGACGTCGAGCGCAACGATCTCGCCGTTGTCTTTACGGGCGCCGGTGCCGATAGCGATGATCTCGCCTTCCTGCGGCTTTTCCTTGGCGGTGTCTGGAATGATGATTCCGCCGGAAGTCTTCTCTTCAGAGTCTACGCGGCGAACGACGACACGGTCGTGCAATGGACGAAATGCCATAAGACTGTTTCCTCTCATGAGCGCGCCCCACGCAATTGGCAGCGCGCGAGACATGATTTCTGGGTTGAACTAAGCAGGAGACCTTGATCCCTGCTGCGTACTAGCACTCCCTCAAGGCGAGTGCTAACAGCGCCTTGGATTTATGCAGCAACGTCCAGATTGTCAATGGTTTGTGAGGAGAATTTAATCTTCACTTGGCGCAGATTTGCGCAATGGCGTGATTCCTGATCAAGGAACCTTGAATCAAACCGACGCGGAGCGCGCGCTCGTGTCTCCGAACGTTCCGTTATTTGGGATCGGCAATTGTAAATGGCAAGGTGAATCCGGCTACTTTTCCGCCCTCATCATCGCTAAATCGGGTTTCTAGCTGATAGTCGCCGGCCGGCAACCCGCTGAACTGGAAGGAAAGGGCTGCGGCAAGTTCGCGTTGCTTGGATCGGCCCTCACCGGAAAACACGGCGAAATTGTCCTGCTCGGCCAGGACCTGACCCGACAGGTTCACGAGCCTGTAGCTTGCTGTGAGTTCAAACGCGTAGATGCCGTCGGTCTGGCTGAAGGAATATCCGATCGGCTCGGCATAGATGGAAAGGACGTCGTCTTCCTGAAAGATGGCATCTTTGTGCGGAGTATATTGTCCGTATGCGGTTCCACCGTCTTGCGTGAAAGTTGCAACCGAGAATGCAAGTCCGTTGGCTTCCCAGGCTGCATCATAAGCTGTTAGTGCATCCGTGAACGCTTTTGAGGGTGTGGAGACAGTTTCAGCTTGAACGCTTGCTGTGCAAATCCCCGTATAAATCCCCGTTGCCAGGAGGATAGCAGAGGCACCTCGCCGGGATACACGTTTTCCTGTCAGCATTTTCACTTCCCCGCACGCCCTTATGTCTTGTCGTTTCTTGGCGATTTCGCCGATATAGACCGACTTTTGACGATAGACAAGAAAATGTGTGCAATGCAGTAAACGGATAGCCGGTTAAAGGCTGCGTGCCGTCCAGGATTGACGTTTCCGATAGATAGTGGAGGGACTGATTTCCAGTGCTGCCGCCGCCATCGCGATGTTTCCGTCGAACGCATCGAGGGCGTCTTCGATAATCCGCCGTTCCTGGGCCCACAGGGGCTCGATGGACCCGAAGGGACGGCTTGGAACGCTCACGCGCGACCTTTCCCTGGAAAGATCGATGATTGCATTCGGCCGACTGCTTTGATCGCGGATTACCATCGGCAGCATGTCATAGGTAACGGCTGCACCATCATTCATGACAACCATCTGTCGAATGGTGTTTTCAAGTTGCCGGACATTGCCGGGCCAGCCGTAGGACAAGATCCGCGTTTCGGCGTCGGCGTCGAACCCCTTGAAATTCCGTCTTTCTTCACTGGAGTACTTGTCAAGGAAAGTCTCCGCAAGCGGCAGGATATCGTCGCGGCGTTCCCGTAGCGGCGGCAGGTGGACCGGTAGGACGTGAAGACGATAATAAAGGTCTTCACGGAAACGGCCGGCCGTGATCTCGGCAACCGGATTGCGGTTCGTCGCGCAGATGATACGTGCATCCACCTTGCGGGACTGTGTGTCACCCAGCCGTTGAAAACTTCCGGTCTGAAGAAACCTTAAAAGCTTGCTTTGCAGCAGCAGGTCCATCTCGCCGATCTCGTCGAGAAACAGTGTTCCGCCATCGGCTTGTTCCGCAGCGCCGGCCCGATTTTCCGATGCGCCCGTGAAGGCACCGCGCATGTACCCGAATATTTCGCTTTCGATCAGGTCCCGGGGGATGGCGGCACAGTTCAGCGTGACAAACCGGTTGGGATGACGATCGGACAGGTCATGGATCGCGTTTGCACACAGTTCCTTGCCGGTTCCAGACTCGCCGGTGATGAACACCGGCGCCTGCGAGGGCGCCATGCGTCTTATCTGATCATGGACGTCGCGCATTTGAAGCGAAACACCGATCAGGCGATCCAGGCTCGTTTGTACAACGATTGAGATTTCAGATCGCGACTTCAGGGCTTGGCGTTCCGGCACGCGAATAGGCTCCTTCGGCAATGCGGCCTCGACGGGAGCGGGCGCCAGAACAGGTCTGCGCTGTTTGAGCTGAAACATGATCTTGGTGGCAAGTGCATCAAGCGAGAACGGTTTGGTCAGGAAGTCATGGGCACCCGATCGCATCGCGCTGACCGCACGCGATACCGATCCCTTTGCCGATACTGCGATGATTACGGCCTTCGGACATCTTACGGCATAGGCTTCAAGGGCTTCGTCACCGCCAATAGTTTCCAGGTCTATGATAAGAACGTCGGTTGACTTGTCCGCCAGATCCTGAAGGCAGGACGCTGAGTCCGTGTAGAGGATCGGATCGGCGCAGGAGGCGGATATTTTCGCGCAAACGGCGGATGTGCGAGCTGCCTCCGAGGCCGATGCATCGAGTACACGTACAATCACAGGCAAATGGTTGCCCTCAATACTCCCCATTGCTGGGTAACTCCCATCGCTTGATCCGGGTCCTTCGAATATCGAAAGATTCGTCACCCTGATAATTCTCCGAACAGGGTAAACAAAGCGTTGTCAGATGACGCATTTTGCAGTTTTTACGGAGAAAACTGATCTGACCAGTGAGTTATCCTATGCGCCCACAAGGAGACCGGCGAGAAAACCACCCGCCGCGAGTGCGAGAGCAATCGGAAGCGATACCTGTATTCGGAGGAGTCGCGGGAGTGGAGATTCCCGCTGATTTGGAAATGTGCGTTGGGAGCTGCCCTGCAAGGGGTTCGCGTTTTCCACGCCTTGTGCCGTACCTGCCTGACCGATGGAATTCGAATTCGCAAGGCTTTGCTCAGCATCAGAGCGACCTGCTTGACCGTCCGCAGAAACAGGGGAATGCAGGTCCTCGAACGGTCGGCTGTCTTCCGCGGCCTTGTTCTCGCTCGTGACAGCGTCCTGCTGATTGGCTGCTGTTCCCGAATCTGCCACCGATTTCACGGATGTGAACGCTGGTGCGTAACTTCCCTTGGGGATCGTGATACGGACAGGGGAGGAGGCACCCGAACCCTCATAGTATTTCGTTAGCCGGCGACGGAGCCGGGCGGCTTCCACCCTCACTATCGGGTCGGTGACCGGGTTGAAATCCGTTGCACGTCCAAGGGCTTCCACGGCGATCGTGTACCCCTTGATCTTTTCATGCTTGTTTTCCAGCGACGCGTGGACGACAAATTCCAGGAACGATCTGAGCTGAGGTGCCGAGCGAAATTCCGCGCTTTCGAGGGCATCGGTCAATGCCGACCGGGCCTGCCTCTCGTTGCACGGCAGGACGGAGGCATCGGAATTGGGTGCCGGGTGCGCACCTGGGACTTTTGCGGAATCGGCCTGTGCAGACGAGTGGCTGCCTCGGCGGTCATCCTGTGCCTTTCGGGTGGAAGCGTTCCGGGTCGTCTGCTCGGCTGTGTGCATGCCAGTCCCCTTATGGTAACCGGTTCCTTCTGCACCACGACATTTTGCCCGCCATAATTTTAACCAAGTCTATGGTGATTGCAAATCCCTAGCATTCCTGTTCGGCAGATACAGCAGCTGACACCGCTTCCGCGCTGCACCGGTTTCCGACCTGCCCGGTGTCGCGCATGAAACGAAAAAACAGTGGCTTTGGTGATGCATAGTCGGGGACAAGTCGGCAATTCGATGCCTCACAGAGGCTTGCGGATTCGGATGTGCCTGTTTCTTAAGGCATGATTAACCGGTAAATTTTGATTCGGGTCGGAACTTTCAGACATCATGGGTCGAACGGGGACCATCTTTGTAGCAATATGCATGGCGATCATCGCGTTGTCGTCCGCAATCGTGCTGATTTTTCAGTTCGGGCGGCCGTTCGGTGAAGCCGTTTCGCTGTCGCTCGCGCTGATGTGCACGATGATTCTGATCCATCTTCTGATCGGCCGTGCGCGTGATCGTGGAGCGGTGAGCGTTGCGGTGGACCGTCTCGAGGACCGAATGGCCGACCTTGATGAGGATGTCGGTAATCTCGAGGGGCGGCTGACGGGAATGGAACATACCATGCCTCGCCGGACCCGCGCGGAAATCGATCCCTTGTTCGCCGAGGTGGAAGTGCTCGGCACTCTGGTGAAACAGATGGCGGAAGCCATGTCCGATCTGGAAACCCGGGTGGAAGATCAACAGGCACTTGCTCCGCCGCCGCGGGCGCCCAATCTTCCGCATTATCCGCAGGCCCGGCCCGCTGTGCAGGCGCATGAAGCGGGCATTCCGCCCTCATACGCACCTGCCCCCCCCAGCCCCCCTCCGTACACCCCTGTACATGCTGAACCGAGAGTGCCACCTCAGCTGCATCCGATGCCGCAGCATGAGCCCGAGCATCCGCCTGTTGATCACATGAACTGGCAGGCTCCAGCTCCACAGGCGCCAGCGCCACAGGTACCGGCTCCACAGTCGCTGGAAACGCACGGCCATGGCGACATGGCGGAATGGGACCGGCGATATGGTGTTCATGGCGAAAGACCCCGTGAAGAAGACACCATGGTGCCGGCACCGAGGCCTGAACCTGCGTTTGATTTCGGCGATGAAGTGACGTCTCAAGCGGTCTTTCAGGCAAAAGATGTCGAAACAGTTCAGCCACCTCGCCCGCAACCCAACATGGCAATGCGGGAATTGATAACTTCCG